TTGTTGTTTGGCGGGTCCGGGCTGGGGATTCGAACCCACCACCTTAGGTGTACATGGCTGGTGCCTTAGCCGGTTAAGCTATAGGCGCAGAGCCTTTAGCTACACATTTTAAGGAAAATACAAAGTCTCAAACAGAACCCAGCCTGTGAGGGCTAATAAAAGTCTCCAGATATATTAAAAGGCTAGATGCCAAAGCACCCACATTTCTACTATAGACCTTGCTATTCATAGAGACTTATGGGATGTGCTTGGTGTGATGAATAAAGGCTACCCAAGAAAATATAAATTTAGCTTACTTTGTGTTTTCTCTGGAAAAAAGATATGAAAAAAATCACAAATGTAATTGCCACACTTTCTCAGAGGAAAGCTAGTCATAATATAAGAGTCACTGTCACCTTTCTTGTTGGGCTGTCATTACAACCTAGTATGGAGTGTTGCAATAAGTATATGTTCAGGCAAGTATGTAACTCCTGAATTTGCTCTTAGAACAAACAAATGACAACTGGAGTGACCTTCTGTCTTTACTCCTGCTACCAATATAACTTTTTCCATGAAAGACCAAATAGTAAATATTTTAGGCTTTGTGAACCACATAAGGCTCCCACCCTAAAATGTAAAAATCCTTTTACTTCACAAGCTGCATAGAAAAAAACTGTGAGTCTGGGTGGCGCCTGTGACTCAAAGGGGTAGGGTGCCGGCCCCATATGCCGGAGGTGGTGGGTTCAAACCCAGCCCCGGCCAAAAACTGCAAAAAAAGACTGTGAGTCAGATTTTACCCAGAGGATGTGGGTTACTGATCCCAGGTATAGATATCTTTAAGACTGTTCAATAACAATGCTTTTGAGAACACAGTCCCAGTGGGTGAGTAGGAAGGCAGCATGAAGGAGAGAACAAAGACCAGTCTGCAGACAATCACTAATACTCAAACTTCATGAATGGCCATTTCGCACACCACAAGATGTACTAATATTACTATAAAAGGAATCCGAGAGTGCTATTCTCTATATTAAACCCACAGAAAATTATTTTAAAATGGCAAATTTTTAATATTTAAATGTTTATAAACACAATTTCTACATCTAGCAAAGTAATAATAGTGAGATCATTTCATCTCCAAGTTCTCTTCCAACTGAGTCTAGTCTAAAAACAATTTTTTTTACATTTTTAAAAAGTTTTTTGGCAGAGTACTTGAGAAACCTTGGTGTGTAAAAGTACACATGATAAGCTGCATACTGTGATAACCATTTTCAGTACACAGACCCTAGAAATCCTAAAGTCTCTAAAGAATTAGCCTGAACTTAAGTGAGAGATGAATTTAATAAGATGAGTTATAACTATAATATTTAAAAAGAGAAATGAAGCTTCTTTCTTTTTGGCTCATCTTCAAATTTAGAAAAGAATTAAGACTAAGTCCAACTGCATTCAATCTAGGTTCACTTTGTCACAGATCTACAACCAGGCAAACACTTGAATTAAAACCAATCCAACAAACACGACAAGGGATACTGAACTTTTGCAAAAACATTTCAAATTCACTTTCTAAATCAAGGGAAAAACCTTAATTGGTAGTTGGTATCTTTTTCCTTAACACTGTGAATTTAAGGCTAATAAAAACTGCATTGATTTGTTATTACATGCTCTTATATGAACTTAAATAAATAAGACATTATTTCCGGCAGAATATAAACCAAGGCTATTCAAGGTAGCTCATGGTCATAAGGATAGTGTCCTCCAAGCTGAGATAAAAAACAAAGCAATATTCTCAAGCCAGTGACCAAATGTGTACTCTTGTATTCTACTGATAATCAGAACATTCAAAGGGAACCTGTATAAATCAGAGATAAACGAACCTAATTCACTCATTTTAGTATTTCCATTTGTTTTGTAAGACGAATCTGCAAGAGAGACAGCAAGAGAATGATTAGAGCTGAATAGGAAATGCATCATATGGTTCTTGACCACAGGTTCCTCATCAAAACCATAACAGACCTTTACCTTTATAAAACTTAGAAGGACTGTCAACTATCCTTCAAGATAAATTAACATAATTCTTCCTTAAGGCAAATGACTGAAGACCAATAGAAACCTATGTAAAGATAAATAAGCTTCCATTTTAGTTCCTACAACAAAACATCCTTCAGGGCCAATACGCACTGAAAACAAACTAGAAGTATACTGCTCGGAATGACTTTACTATTTTCTTTCACAGTCATGAAATCAATTTAAGAGCAACAGTTTTTAAGGTGTTAGTCTAAAAGAAAGATTACTAAAGCAGGTACATTTTATAGTCCTGTACCATAAACCTCACTCTTGACACTTTTATTAGCAGTATACTAGGAAGAATAAAAAGGTCCCTGACCTTGGTTTAAAATCGCCATGTTAACAAAAAGAACCAGAGCAATGTATAAGAAACAATCTCTTACAAAAATTAGTAAGGACTTTATGTACTGATGTGGAAAGATCTCTCAACAGATGTTAAGTAAAAATAAACAAGTACAGAAAGAGTACTTATCAGGTCAAATTTGTGTTTAAAAAAGGGAGGAAAAGATAATGTATACATAACTTTCCTTAAAATTTCAAAAAAAAAAACCCTCCAGAAAAATACTTTGGAAACTGATAACATTGCTTGCTTCTGACTAAAAGGGGATGGGAAGACTTGTCAGTGTATATCTATAACAACTTTTGATTTTTGAACCATATGAATACATATACTATTCTACTTAAAAATAAAATTACATTTACAAAAAAGTTGCTAACAGACAAAACAATCTCTTACCGGATCTTGGGCTTCTTAGAGGGGGTCTACATAGGCTGCTGATAAGATCTTCTTTTACCACTAATACAGGAAGAAAAACATTAAAAAATATATAAAATATGAAACATACTACCTTTATTATGTAATCATCCCCTTATTTATTCAACATAGGTTTATCGAGCTTTTCATTATGCTGGGGAACTAGAGACAAGTTTCCCTAAGTGCTGACCTCCTATGAATTAGTGACAATATTGAACTTGAGACAAGTTTCCTGTCATGTAAAATTTATAGTTTTGATAAAGAAATTCTCAATTTTTCTCACACCATATTTGTACAAAAGGAAAGAAATACTAAATAAACCTCTTCTAAATAGCTCAATTAAGAACCAAAATCTGTACCATAGCACCAACTCAATTATCTATTCTATTTGTGACTTACCCTTGTCGTGTATTATTTATGGAGTATTTTATGGTTAACTTCCTGAGAGTTAATAAGCTCATTCCAACTATTAAACGTTGTGTGTGTTCAGGAAACACAAACTCTAACTTTAAATAAAATGTTAATGTTAGTCAGGGTTCATTTCACACTGCCTGTGGTTCAATGGCATAGGGTTAGTGGAGAAACTTAATTCTATTACATAAAATGTTAATTTTAATCTAGAAAACCACTTAAAAAGGTATGTTTTTTCAAAGAGCCTCATACAACATATTCTAAAACCCAGTATTATCTAAATTTGGATATTATGTTTTGCTTCATTCATCTCTATAAAAAGCCATTATGGGATATGTGGGGCTGCCTAAGGGAGCGAGCCCTGTGTGTGCTTCTGGTGGGCCCTTTCAGCTCTACTTATTAGCGGCATCGCTCTGCAGCTGGGAAATTCTGGCCCAGAAGCATGGTAGCCACCCTGGAGAACTACCTCAACTGAACTGTTGCTGTTATTACTTCTAATGGGAGAAAGACAGACTGTGGAACACTGAAAGGTGTTGATGGGACCATTAATTTGATTTTTGGATGCAAGCCGTGGAGGAGTATTCCACTCTTCACAGGAGTAGAGTAAGTGGTACTAGGATTGTACATCGTAAGAGGTGTCAATGTTGCAGTCATTGGAGAAATTGATGCAGAGACAGATTCTGAGCTTGATGTGGGGAATGTTTGAGCAGAACCTTTAAATCGGGGGTGTCCAACCTTTTTCCTTTTCTACTACACACTGGAAAAAATAAGTGTTGTCCTAGAATTCACAGTAAATACACAAACACAAAAACTCATCAGCAAAAAAAAAAAAAAAAAA